TGACTTCACTTCGCAGTTTGGTCAGATCCCAGTCGTTATAGCAGGTGATTTGCAGGCTGACCCCACAAGCCAATGCTATCACCTTTCAAAATTGGCATGACCCTATTGCCTGCGTTGATTCTGATGGGTTCTCCACTAGGCCGTTTACTTCTCGCGGGACGGGTCGTCTTCTGGAGCTGAAGATGCCACCTCTTCTATTGATGCTGTTCTTGTCAACCACATTGCTTTCGCCGCGCTTGAGTCGGTTGATGTTGTGCCAGTTGTGGGCAGACAGCACAGCCATCAAACTGGTTTTTCGTTGGGGAACCCTCAACCAGATCGGGTTTGTTCATCGTAAAAGTGCTCCGTTTGACCCGCAAACCCTTGAGCCTGCCAAATGGGACCCCGATGAACCTTCGTGTTGGGATTCCTTTCAAGGTGATTACAACCAAGTCCATTCTAGTGATGAGAAATGGGGTGTCATCAAGAAATGCTTGATCCAATCGTTGGTCAACAAGGGTGCCAAATGGGGTGCTGGGCCTCAACAGCGAGGCACTGAGCCTGTTTTCGTGCCCAAGCGCATTGCCCCCAGACAACACCTCAACAACTGCGCTGCCACCAAATGTTCCGCTGCAAGGGCATACTGGGGCCTTCGTACGCATGAAGCTCCGATCACATGGCAGAACCCTGTTTCACCTGACCTGGTTGAGGTCTACTGGGCTCGCCGATGGGCCGAATCCGCAGCCTCAATGCTCGATACACAGCTCAAGCTGCAGCGCATCAAGCTGCAGCGCATCAAAAGATGGAAAGAACGAATCAAGCAATCCGCACAAGGTGACTGTAGGTTCATTTTCCACCATCTCCGGAATAGGGATCAGGATGAACCTCCTAATCTTGTCCTTGATGAACAGTCCAACGTACTGTAATTTACCAACCGGAAGCTGCGCTTGATCAAATCAATAGTGCTTGGGACGAATTTTTTCTGCTAATGCCACAAGTTGTCACCCTTTGTCAGTGTTGCAAACTGTCTGGCCGCAGATCCAAAACCAGACTGCGCCGCTCGATTTACCTCCCATTGAAGGGAAGCAGCTTTTCGATACCATCCACCGGCGCAAGCTCCTGGCGGCGCCGGGCATGGACGGTTGGCGCACAATTGAGTTGCAAGCCCTCCCTGCACCTTGTTTTGAGCCAATTGCTGCTTTTTTCACTCACATTGAGTTCTCTGATCAACCTTTGCCGAATGCACTTGTGTGCGCAAAGCAGCGCATTTTGAATAAGAAAGGGCCTTCCTCTGCACTTAATGGTTAATCACAGTACTCCCTGCTCTTCTACTTGCCTACACAGGCAGTAGATATAGGCAAAGATTGGCAAATACAGATCCTCCCAGCGGCCATTTTGGGTGGGGTCCGCGATTATATATGGCTTCCCTCTACAATGAGGTTCGTCTCGAAATGGATGTATCACAAGCCCCAAATTCCCCGATGATTGGAGTTAAACTGGATAAGTCCAAAGCCTTTGATCGCGTCATCCCCAATGTTGTGGGTGCGCTGCTCTTAGCCTTTGGAGCCCCCAAGCATTTCGTCAACTTTTTCCTCAAGATATACCAAGGATTGCATCGTCACCTTGCATACAGGGGATGGATCAAGTCGGTAGCTACCACTGCAGCGAATGGGGTGGCGCAAGGTTGCAGCTTGTCCCTGCTGGCCGCGAATTCTTACAACAAGGTCTGGTTTCATCTACTTGAGCACTTGCCTGAAATTGCCGCTCGGGCCTTCGTTGATGACTCATATTTGTGGTGTCAGCTCATTCATGTCTCACTCCTCGAAAAGCAATCCAGATCACAAAATTATGGGATCAGCTGGTTGGCCAGGTCTTTAATACTGCCAAATCTTCGATGTGGTCCTCTCATCAGTCTGGCCGCAAAGACCTGCGCCGTGTTTTCCTTGAATTTCCTGTTGAGCTTGAAATTGAAGTCCTTGGTACCAAAATGTACACAAGTAAACGTAAGGGTTTTGGTTTTGATCCTGGCAAGTTGAAAGGCATCATCTCCGATATTAACCACATTGGTGCTTTGAACATCCCCTGTTCGGTCTAAAGCTATTGCCAGACTGTCTTTTGGAGCTCACATCTCGCAAATCCCCAAGAAGGATGTCAGCCAAGTCCAAAATGCAGTTATTCGTGCTTTGTGGACCAACAAACCCAAATGGAGAGCTAAATGGCCTGTCCAAGCGATCCATGGACAACCTCATCGGACTGACCCGATTTTTGCCTGTGCGGTTTGCACAATACTGGAGTTTGTTAGATGTTGTCAGCAATCACCTCGCTTGCTGCCACTGATAAGATTGCGTTGCAAATCAACCTCATTCCCTGTGGAGCAGGCTTCAGCATGCGTGTCTCTGTTTGGGACTTGAGGTAGGGCCTGATCTTACGTTCTCTTTTCGAGGGTCACGTGGGATTCCCTTCACCTCCTTGCAACCAAGGGAAGTCCGACCTTTCCGTAAGATGCTTGCACGTCAGGCTGCATATCAACTGGTGGACTATCGTACTAGGAAAGATTTAGTTGAACCGCAAGGGTTGCTTGATCATAGAGCGACCACATTCCTTTTGAGAAAGCAACCCAAAGAAACCAACCATAAAGTTTCTGCTCAGATGAGATTCCACTCTGTTGTGGTTGGGTGTGCCCTCACCAGAGACAGACTTGCAGCTGCAGGTTGGGTCAATTCCAGTCAATGCCGGTTTTGCCACTGTACTAAGGAGAGCCTGCACCATCTCGTGCATGAGTGTCATGTCCTTCACCAACAAATTGGCAAACCCATTGAGCATGAGCTTGGGGTAAACTTTTGCCTCCTGGGCATCATTCCACATCCCTGGTTTCTCGCGCGTCGCAGACTCATGATGTCGGTACCGAGAGAGCCTGCCTTCCCATTCAATCCTGACTTTGCTGTTGAGCTTAGGAGAGACGGCTCTGTGTTATGGAGTGATCGGTATTGGCTGGTCACAGCCACCTACGCCATCGTCAATGATTCCATGGAAGTGTGCACCAAAGGTGCTGTGAACCATCTTTGCCTCAGCTCCTATACGGCTGAGCTGTGGGGATTGGTCCAAGCCTGTCTCCTTACACCTTTTCCTTTTCGTGTGCATATTTACCGCGATTGTCAGAGTGTGGTTGGGCATGCAAAGGCCCTTTTTTCGAATGGGTGGGTGCGTTGGCTCCTCTTGGCTATGTCAAGATTGGTGGCCCTGCCTTGCGCAGATGTGGCACGACAGGCGAACTCTTCATGAACAGCCCTTCGAAGTTTCCTGGATACCAGCCCATTGCTTTGAACACCTGCCAATCGATGCTATAACTGAGGACATGGCTATTCGCCGTGGCACAACTGTCAAGCATATTCAGAGAAATAGGCTGGTTGACAGTGTTGCCAAAGAATTTGCTGCCACCCTTTCCCCGGTTGAACCTGCCGTTCAGCACGCTGCAGATGGCTACATCCTTCAGCATCATGCATGGCTGGCCAAACTGCATGCTCTACTGCCCACTGATGATGGCATTAAACCGGTTCCTGAACAAGCCACCGAATCCTCTCTCACTCTTGAGAGCTGCAGAACTAAGTTCCCTCAATGGGCGTGGAACGCCAACAAAGGCAATTATCCCTGGAAAGTTAAGATTCCTACTGGGCTTGTCAAACCGCCCAAATGGGATGGCTCAACGCGGGAGTGGGAGTCTATTTGCTGTTTTCTACAAAGCCTGAGATGGAGGGCGGATGATGACGGCGTTACATCATTGTGTGAGCTCACGGTTTCTTTTTGCAGCCAAAGACGACGTTTTGATGAGGACCCAGAGCTTGCAGCGTATTTTTCTTACCACAAGAAACTGCGCAGTGCTGTGGCGCTCCTGAGTAAAATGGAGGACGTTCAAATCTTTCCGGGACAGCTTGATCCTGCTCTTGCAAAGGCTGCCGGACGTACGATGCCTCAGGGAGCCATCCGGGGTGCCGCTCTCTGTGCTACAAATGACTGCCTACACCACCTTGGATGCGTTTTCGCGGCTGGTGCGGGCAGAACGCTGGCGTCATGGAATTTTTGTTTGCTCTAGGTCGGTGCTTTTCACCTGCATGTTTTCGGGGTCAACTCAGGTACCCGGGTCTGTGCGCCCGGTACAACACTGGACGCGTCTCACGCGTGAACTCCAGTCCGCTCGGTGATATATATATATATATACATATACTGTGTGCACATATAGAGAGAGGGAGAGTAGACACCACATCGCATCATTAATTTGCACTTGCCACATCACAAATCGCCACACACCACACCACAACCCGGGACATCACATCACTCACCAGGTCAATGTATGATAATGTATGTACGGTGTCCGAAACCGTCCACGAGCCATGTGAAAGAATATCTACGAAAGATGACATAATCCTTGTTGCTTGCTTTTGGGCAGCGTGGAAAAATGGGTCATGTCATTTCTGGATTTGTATCGTCTGGTCCAGAGATATATAACGTAATATACAAACACATGTACCTATATTATCCTATATTATATAATATATGTCTGCGTGCGTGCGCACATGCGCACCGACGAGGAGTACCAACCTTGATTGGCACCCCAAGTGGGCTGTCTATGCGATCAGCACACCAGGTAACCTACTTCAAGGACTCTCGGCCCCACTATATTGCCACGCTTTCTCAGACAAAGTAAAACATATACTTGAGAGGCGGGGAACTAAAGCGATGACGACGACACGACGATCGTGAAAACACCTTTGAAATAATCCCCTGAGATGATGTTTGTGATGTCGTGTCCCTTTGGGGGGGGGGCCTTAATCAATACCGCTTCAAGTCGTTAAGGGGGGGGAGGCGGGGGATCTATTGGTTCACTTCACACGAAGTGGGGGGGCTGGGAGGGGGGCCGTTTGTAGTGATTTTTCAATTGATCCCTTCGATTTTGACCCATCTAATCGTAAACTAGAACTTCAGCTGACCTCCTTCGGAGATCGCTTTCGTGATAAGTTCTGCGCAGCTTCGGAGTGTGCACTTCGGACCTTAAAACATTAAAGCGGAAAATCAGCGCAAAAGCAAGGAACTGAAGACAAATTGGGCAAGACCATCGCTAGGTGCTGGTCCCAGGCTGCCCACATTCACCGCTGTAGTCAATGATCCTCACCTGGCAATGGTAAAGCAGGTGACTGGCCGGCTCAAAGCGATTGTGCATGTCCGGAAGTTTGGGGGCTGCGCGCGATCATAAACTGACAGCTCAGGGCCCTCGGAAAAGGAAATGTGAGCAGTGGCTCGTTGTGAGAGTTTGAGGTTCAAGCCACCAAATCCATTGCGAAAACAACATGAGGAAGGACTCTGAGCCTGGGAATGTGGCAGGAGGCAAATATCTCACAATCTACTGTACAATTGCAGGATTTTGAGGCGGCCACTCGAAGCCGCCTGAAGCCAAGCCTCATGGCAAACTGTGCGTAGGTTGCGGGCATTTCCAGTCTTGAGGCGTTGAGGGCACAACGCAAGTCAGGCCAGAACGCCTCAACGCTGCCTCAGTTCAGCTTTGACGTGGCTTTCATAATCCACACCCCCTTTTGATATCTGTTCTCACACGTGGCGCGCAAAGCCCGCAATAGTTGTGATCCAGGCCAACCTCTACCTGGTAGTCGATATCTTGGCCGCACTGCCTCCCTGCCCACAACCAAAAAGGTGAAATGCTGCTTGGTACCAGCTGCTCGGCCACTCCCAAACACAAACCCCTCAGCCGCCAACCATTGCAGAACTCTACTCCTTGCAACCTTTTCATTGTGGCATCCGAGGCACCAAGCCCCTTTCTGCTACCTTCCCTCAAGCTATTGAATGCTTCATGTCCAAGTTGAGGCACCCCAACCAATCAAGACCTTTCCAACCCTCCACAGAAAGCGCCAAGCTATAAACAACTTGAGGCCGAGGGTAGGTGACGAAAGCTAGCAGGGATGCATCCGTGTCAGTGGAAGCAAAGCATACAGCGCCGTCCAGTGACAAAGGACTGGTGGGACATCAAGCGGAGTGAGGCAAATCTTTTTTCATAGGCATGGGGCTGTTGGAGGGATGGTTCACAAGGTCTCGCTCATGAGGTAAAACGTTGCGAACATGTAAGACACACGAACAGCAATGACACGGCCAACCTTAGCTTGTGATTCTGTTGAATCTGTTGCATCGTGGATTCCGTAAGAGGTGTCCAAGACGTGTCCAAGAGGTGTCCCAGAGGCGTCCCAGGGGGGAGTTGAACCCTGGGGGGGGGGCCCTCTACATATGAAGTTTTCACGTGATGCGGCGTTCTCGAGGATTCCAGCCCCTCACTTGCTAAAGCAAGGACAACTCCAGCTAGCTGGTGCTAGCTTTCGTGACCTCCACACAACCGGATGCGCTAGCATAGGTCCAGGTAGCAAAACAAAATGTGGGTAGCGCACTGCAGCGGCACCAGCACCCAGGCTCGAAGCAAACACTGCCATAAACGACATCTGTCAGCAACACCCTGCAGGGCACAAATAATTGAACCAGTAAGAGGCCCAATAGCTCTCGCTACAATCTGGGGAAATATGTTGGAACCTGGATGCCCTCTCTGAGCCTTTGACGAAACAGCTTCCGGACCAGCACGAAATCCCATGGCATGTCTTAGTTTCAATCCTCCTTCGAAGTAGCCTAACTCCCGGTCGGAAAAGCATCTCGCATCTCTAAAGAAGCTCAACACAAACCAAATTTGTTTTAATATACAGTAAAAGGCGAACCTGATCGGCCTCGTCCAGAGCACAGGCAAACATAGTAAAGACCACTTCGTGACAGAAGCAAGGGCCCCCAACTGAGCAAATGAGGCATCAAGAAACGGCCAATTGAAGGCTTGTGACTTGTGACCCTTGAGTTCCAGACGTCTGTGCCGAGTTGGGGTCTGAGCCGCTCCCAGGTGATTCAGGGTCCTTCGTGAGGTTTGTGTGCCGAAAGCCTTACCATGCCATCACACAAAGCTGCAACTTGGGTCTCCTCTGCCAATTGGCCCCGAAGATGTTGCGTACCATTGACTGTCCTCGAGCCAAGCAAGGCGTTAACCTTTAGCCATCATAATTCGCAGGCCCAAGGTCACCACCCCGCTTGGCCGCAGCGCAAAGGTGCGAGGACCTTGGCTTGGAACGCGCTCGAGCTTACTACTCGGTGGCACAAAGAAATACTGCAAAGGAATCACTGCAGCATGTTGAAAACCCGACCAATCGAAGTCTTTGAGAAACTCCATCTCCCAAACCAAAGCCATGGACCTCATGTTTGTGAAGCTCAAACCTCTGAAGAGCATCACAAAAGGGACTGACATGACCAAAGTGACGACCCAAGCCTAAGCCACCTGCTGTCAGAGAAAAATTAACTCCAACCTAGGTGGTCTACACGAACAATCGAGCTGGATGTTTTCACAAGGAACTAGAGTTCATATCGCCCAAAGTGGCTGCCAATTTAGAGTTATTGGCAACCTGTGATGACCAATGGTCATCCAATGCAATCTGGTGAAGTGATCTGTAGTGAGTGAAAGCCGTCCAAATTGTTTATCGTCGTTCATCTTGTCAATGAGGGTGACTCGGCTTTTGGGCCGGCATTGGTTGCTACGGTTGCTGACCCCAACACCACTCGACTCTTCAGTTTCCCACGCGAACTTTACGCCGATCGAAGCCTTCAGCTCCAAGCACCTGAAGAAGAACACAAGGTCTCTCTTTCTCGACTTTTGTTTTATCTACTACAAGTATAGGAAGAGCTGCATGTGTGCATTTTCGAGCGTGGGTGCTGGTGCTGCTGCAGGGCGCGCTGCTGTGTGCGCTTGGGCCATTGGCAGTTTGGGTGCTGGTGCCGCTGCAGGGTGCTGCAGAGTAGCCCTGCGGAGTGCGGCTGCAGGGCGCTGCCCACAGATGTTTTTTTGCTATCTGGTGTCTATCTATCTGCAGATATACATATATATATATATGTGTGTGTATGTTTTTTGTTTTTTAAGTGGGGGAGGGGAAGGTAGCTAGTAGTAGCTAGGGTGTCACTAGTACCTACAAGTAAGCTACTAGTAACTGAACTCAGGATAGTACACGCTTACAGCTCAAGAATCAAGAAAACTGCCAACGACGGGGCTGCCTCCAAGGAGGTTGGACCGGCAATCGAGAAATTGCCGAGATCCAAGTTGAACCTCGGAAACTTCAATGCACAGGAATATCCCTTCTCATCTCAACAGAAACCACTCTACAGGTCGAGGCCCGGGCAAAGCATCAGAGTGACAAACAGCCTCAGCCCGCTGGCAAAAGTGGTTCTGGAAAACTCAGAGAACACGGAATTCTGGACTCTGAGCACTGATGGCTTGGTCTCCAGGGCTATGACCGTGACATTCAGAAGCTGCTGGTCAAGATCTTCATCTAGCTGCTCCTCGAAGCTTGCGTTGCTGCTGTTGCTCATGTTGTCACCTCAAGGATGCAAATTGATACAAATGAAAGACAGCTTCTCAGGCTTCCTGTTGGACGTGTGCTGTGTCAGACCTCAGGCTTCCCGAAATCCTCTTTTTGCACAAGCAATGCGCAGGCACTCCAAGCAGCCTCTGTTCAATGCTTTGTGCTACCCCGCCCCACAAGCCACAGAGCTCAGGTAGTGAGCTCTTCTAAAGTCGAGACCATAGTCTCATGAGTCCTGTCTACCGCAGCTTTCTGCTTTCACATACTTGCCGCAAGGGCTTGGAGCAAGTGGGTGAAACAAAACACAAACGATGTTTCAGCTACTAAGCTACACATGTTTTGAAGGGCAAACTAGCTTCCCATGTTTCGATGCCCCAAGCTTCAGTCGCTCATTCGAAGCAGTAAGAAGATGGAAAATGCATCGCCCAAGGAAATTTTGTGCGGATTTGCTTTGGAAAGACCTTCTCAATGGCGAGATCCACCTGAGGAGGCACCCACTCTACTAATTAACTTCCAAAGTTCTAAATGGCTATAGTATAGGCTATAGAGCTACAGTCGGCTGTTGAGGCGCTGACATTCCAACCACTTGAGAAACCCTGGGGCATCCGGCCCTCTGCAAGCGGGCCGAAGGCAAACGACATTTCCAAATTTCGCGGTGTTTGTCAACCGCTTTGCTGAGCTGCTCCAGGTTGATTCTATCTGATTCTATCTGTCCGACATGGTTCTCAAAACCGAACCTCCAATAGTCAAGTTGCGTGCATTAAGATAACACCGTCCCCCAGCACACTGTCACCATACTCGTCCGCAAGACATGGTCCCCAATACCAACCCCCACCTCATTGATCTAATCATTCAAAGTTCTCTCATTTGCCCAATTTGTCCCAATCTATCCTATCTATCTGATTTATCTTGTCTATCTAGTCGCTGAAACCTCCCTAACCAATCTAGCCTATCTCACCGACCTAGCCTATCTATATAATCTATTGCATTCTCTTCCATCTGTCTGTTCTATCTGATGTATCTCATCTAAATATGTTTCCTATCCCACTTAATCTGTCTAGCCAAATCTAACCGTACCTTTCTCATCTACCTAATCTAGCGAGCATGCATGCCACTTCATGCCACTCCAAGTGTCACAACCTTAATAGTCAGTTAGTATCACTTCGCATCACTTCACACCGCTTCAAGTTGAGTGAAGTGGCGTAGAGCGGCGAAATCGCTGGCACACACACGTTCGTCTAGCTGCCAAAAACTTCAAGAACGAGATAGTTCGGGGGTGCTACATTGTAGCGAAACGCCCATGCTCATCACTTGAGATAGAAGGGGGTGAACGTAAGGTAGCAAATGGGCGGGAGGGGAAAGGAGAGAGGATCGCAAGGGGTGAGTCCAAGTCTCGAGAGGCACGAGTGCTTTTGACTGAATTGGACATTGCGCGGGATCTTGCAAAGTGTACATAGCAAACAAAAAATGTGATAAAAGTGCTGCATTCAATGACATTCTGACATTCTTCCCTGATACTACATTCTTGAGGCGACCGTGTTGGGCGAAAGCTACCGGCCTCCCTTCGATTCTGCAAGCAAGGAGCTGGCACATGCATGTTGTTTAGTCCCAACAGCATTGCAGCACTGGTTGATATGAGAGGCGTGTGTTTGCTTATTACGGTGTCTTTTCTCCTGCTGCTTGTTCGCTGCGTGCTTGCGCTGCTCGTTGTTGCCTGTTTTACTCCTTTTTTGCCGCTGCTCTGGACAAAACAAGATTTGCACCTAAACCGCGACAAAATTTGCACCCAAACCGCGACGGCGCAGGGGGGATTTGATCCAAAAATAGGGCCAAACTCAATGCACAATCCCAACTCCAGATTGTAATACATGTTTGCTAAAGCAGGGAGAACCAGGTAGGTAGTTGAAGCTACCTTTCGTGAACCACACCATTTCCAGAAAATGTCAGACACCCAGCCAGGCTAAAGGTTGACGACGTATGCAACTTAGAAAAAACCTCACAGCCATCTATGACACCTAGCGGAGCTGGCGCTGGCACTAACTTTTTGCTCGCGGGGTCAATAGCGACGCGATGGTGAAAGTCCAATTTGTTTTAATTCCGTGTGGTAGTTGCAGCATTTCGTAGCACCCGCAGGGCCACTGAGGAGAGCGTTAACTCTGCAAAGTAGATTTTTGGCAGCCGTGTAAGGTTTTGCGCGCACTTTTGTTGTCATCGGTGTTAGAAGATAGTCTGGAACTGCACAACAGGTTCATTGGAAACGAAGATGGTGTTGGACGAGACATGGGGTGCGGTGGTGGTGGGGGTGGGGGTATGATTTTTCTTTTAGCTGATTTCAGAGGAAGATGATGTAGCACTTGGATGGTCTGCGAGCCCAGATGAACTTTCACGGGAATGATCTGCGAACCTACGAACTTTTGATGTTTGCGTGGATGAAGCATGTGGCGGGGTGAAGTCAAAATCCCCCTCAGTGGCAGCGCTAAGTTCTTTTGTCCCTGGATCTAGGCTTACCAGCCCAACTGGTCCCACAAGAGCGAGTGAGTGAGGGCGAATGAGCGGCTTTTTACACACGCATGTACCGTGATCCAACTGTTATATCATTTGCAATAATGTGTTCATAGGAAGGATTCGCGCATGCTCATTCCATGCTCTGTGTTCTCACCAACAGAGATGTCGCTGCTAATTCGGTGTTGGAAATGATGAGACTGTTTTTAATTGACGACGACGTTCGCTCTGGAAATGAGCACCTTCCTGTTGAATACGAGAGTCTCAAGACAAATGGAATTCCCCGCGTCACTAACGACCCCGTGCCCTAATTTTTGTATGGGGATCATCCGGCCTCCCGCAAGCCACATTATATACAGTAATCAATGCGCACGCAAACTTTCTGAACGGAAACAAAGTGTTCTGACATGCACAAGGGTTCTCACGTTGGCTGAGCCAGGTTCAGTTCTTTGTGGATACGAACGGCTGTTACCGGGGCGACAAAAGCCAGCCATAGCAAGTCGAAGAAGCGGCCAGCATGGCCAGTACCAACATACTGCCGATTGGTGGTGGCAAAATACACGCGAGGTTCCTCAGGAACATTTTATTCAGATATATTTGTTTTTTTAACAGGTGTGTACTGGGGTTCCATGATGCAAAAGTTGAGACACGACCAAGCCTGGGAGCGTATTTGGAACCCATTTGCAGCTGAAACTGGCGTATTTGTGTTACTGGCGTGCGCCTTGCAGAGACGGATCCGTTGCAGCATATGTTGATCTTGCCCAAGATGTACAAATGGATCCTAGCACAGTCCCCAAGAACTTAAGATTGAATCAGCAGGCGGCAAGAATCTTAGTCATGAGCCGTGGCATTCATATACCCGACGATTGTGATGGGTTTGGAAGGAGTTCCAAACATTTTGCACGCAATGTTGTTCTTGCCTGCATCCCAAAGGTTCCAAGTCTGACTCTGCGTGTGGGGCAAAATCAACGACAGCCACAAATGGAAGGAGTTGAAGTTGAAGCGTTTCTGCCGTCTTTGCCAGGGCTTAAAACCTTGAATTGTTCATACAGTGTGTGCGTCATCAATTTTAATGTGCGCTGTAGGGGGCGCCGCCTCTCCTGAAGGATTTTGCACACCTTCCTTTGCGATTGTGGGCGGTTCTTGAGGGCTGATGGCGCTGGAGATGCTCGCGTCAACTTTTGACATCTTCAGCCCTTTCAGAGAGCCTTGCCTGCATTCCACTCTCGCAGCATCACTGGTTTGCGAAGGCATCGAGGATTGCAGCAAGGCTCGAAAGCCAAAGGTTATTATGCCCCACTGAATCTCGGACAGGTTTCAGCCACCTCTGATTGTGCCAAGACACCTTCTTGCACCATGCGACTGTAATTCTGGGATCCATGTAGTTCACTTTTGATGTTCCCAATGAAACTGTCTTATTTGCCTCTTTGGTATCGATTGCAGTTCTCTGCTTCTGAAGGCGAAACTTCACTTCGGCCATTTTCCTTACAGCAAAGCCAGTCGCATTCTGTCACCCACCACCACTCAACACCTGCTGAACCAAAGTGAAAAACATAAGAAGCCAGCAGCTTCCATCTATTGGATCTTCAGGGTGATTGTTGCAAGGCTGTCCTATGTTGACCACTGGCCACTCTGCGCTCGACAAGTGTCTTTTGAGTAGATGGAATATCTTTTGGCAGCTTCGACGCAGCACTGTCCTTCACATCAATCAGAGAACTTGGCGCTACACTCGTCTTTGCTCATGCTTAAAGGCAACAGTCTATTGCGTCCTTGATAGGCTTGCCAGCTTGAAGTGCTAGCATATGCTTCTTCAAGTCCTTGTAGCTCTTTTCTATATCTTTCGCTATGCTCCGCATCTTTACCATAGATTGAGCATGCGTCTTGGACTCAGCCTTCTGGTGGTTGCCTCAGGATAGGTTGAAAATGTCTAGTGATTTGTTGCATTGTTATTGTTTGGGCCAACTTAGGCAGGCACACAAAATTGCCACGTGACGATTTGCATCAGTGTAAAACTGGTACAACTGCTCCTGCAGAAAGCAACAGGCTTCTACTTCACGCTTGCAAGCGTGAGTTCATATACGTCTCAAACCCCCAAAAAGAACACTCCAGCAATTTAGTGGCACGCTCTAGCAGCGAGCTGCGGTGCTGGTGATGGGTAGGCGATGACCGGTCCGCATCCCGTACCCACAAAGTGGACTTGGAAAGGGTTCATGCTGGAGGACTGCTTTTGGAAATGCTATGGCATCTTCTGTCTGAACCACTGTCGGGCAAACGAGATCTGGACTGTTGTCAAGGAACTAACGAGGTGGACATGAATCACTCAAACGAACACCCCACTGAAGATTTGTGAAGAGGGCATAGTCAGCTATATCAAGAACAGGGACTACAATAACCTCGACACTTGCATCATCACAAACAAATGGCAGAAAACGAAAGGCAACTAAGAGAACAAAGGAAACACAAGCAAAAACAATGAATTTGTCAAACCTTTCACAGAAGTAGGCATACAAACC